ATTGTGTAGTAAATTAGCCCCAAAATGTTGCAAAACAATGATTGCTTATTTTCTCAATGACTTCTGAGGGTCAGGAATCCAGGAGCAATTTAGCTAGATGGTTCTGGCTCAGAGTCTCAAGCTGCCTCATGTGATTCCCTGAGATTTGTAGGATAGAAGGCCTTATCTCCTCACCACATGGACCATTCTATAGATCTGTGTAGTCTCAAATTAGGACATCTCACTGCCCCAGAATGACTGATAAGAGAGCAAGTGCATGACAGATCTTTTTAAACTTAATGTTGTGACATACAATCACCTCTGCCTCATCCTATTGGTAGAATGTGTGAGAGAACCCAATAGAGATATCAGTACCATTAGGTGGAATCATTAGGAGCCATACGGGATACTGACCCTGACACTTATTCATTAACAGGTGGCAGAACTAGGTAACAAGTCCCGGCAGCTTGACTTAAGTCTTTGGTCCCATTACCACTATGTTAAGGGTAGTTACAGGGATGGGCATGCAGTATAGCAATGACGTCCCCACCTCATAGAAGAGTGTCTGGTCCAAATCCTGGCCTCTTTGCTTTGGACCTAGCTTCGTGCTGTTGAGCAGCCTGGGAAGTACTTTGGCCCCAGCCATCCACATGGGAGTCCTGGATGGAGTTCCTAGCTTCTCGTTTTGGCCTGGCCCAGCCCTAGCTGTTGGAAGCAATTGGGGACGTCACTAGTGGATGGAAGACCTCATTCTGTCTCTGCCTTTCAAAGAAAAATGAAAATAAGTCTCTATTTTTTTAAAAAAGAGTATTATGGAGACCATATTTGTGAAAGTTAGTACTTCTCCAGAAGGCTTACTTTAGAGAATCTGGATGCTTGTGGAAGGCATTCTGTGACACCTGCTTGTCTAAAAACTCCTGAAAATATGATAGATGTAAGAATATTTATCAAGGGCAATAGACATTGAACTTGCAAATGTTCCAGGTTATATACAGGTCATCCCAGGGGGAAAAAGAAAGGTAGTGAAGAGAGGTAGAATGAGAAACGATTCACTTAAACTCCTTTCACTTCAATATACCATTATCTTCACTATTATATTTGTCCCCTTTTCTACATCAACGAATCTCAGTTCCATCAACTGTCATGTTGAGAAATATCTAGGGAGGGTTTTATTTCTTAGAATTTGTAGCATTAAAAATATTCAGTTTAGATTTCCTATAGGTCACATTTAGTGCTAACATTTAAAGACTGCTGTAAAAGTTTTCAAATACCTAAGTGCCTTGTTCAGGGAGCTGAATAATTTGGTGAGGGAATTTCTACTTGAAAAATCTGTGTGCATCAGTGTCAGATATAAATTCAATTGTCACCAAGTGGTGTCAGAAGAGATTTCTTGTCATATTTGGCCGCAGAGCAGAGATTTATTGAAAATGCTTGATGATATCGCTCTCTGAGCTGTTTTACATAAACATAGCAGTGTACTATATGCTCTGAATTGTAGAGCTTTTGTGTATGTGTGTTTCTGGCTCTCAAATTTGACATCTAGAGGAAAAGTACACAAGGATACTTCAATGCATCGTGCATCATCCAACTGACTTGGGATGATTATTTTTACAACTGTGTTAGAAGTGTCAACTTCTGTGACTTTTCAGAACTAAATCATGGATCAAAATATCTTAACAAAGAAATCTTTGGAATACCTCTCTTCTACTTCATGTCAGAAAATAAAACACTGAGCATTTCTGAGGTAGAAACATACAATAGATTTATGATTTTTTTAAAGATTTATTTGAAGATCAGAATGACATGAACTTTTACTGTTTGCAAACTGTTTATACCAAGATCAATAGCCAAAGTTCAAAACTAATAGGAAGTAAAATTTTTTCCTTTGACAATAAAAGAGAAACTTGGGCTTTCTCCATTCTCTAATTTAGAGATTTTGTTGCTTACTAAAATCTTCTATTTCTCCATCCAAATTTATTGGGCTTTGTCCCAGAGGATACTTATAAAACTCTTTTTCCAAATGCCTTATAAACATTGGTTCATAATATTATTGGTACTTGCATAGTAACATAATAATACTGACAAGAAAATTTGTACAACTTCTGGAATAAATGCCTTCTATATCTAAGAAACACTATTATTGTCACATTTGTTTGGGTAAAAATTGTCAACTCAGAGAATGCTTTGCAACCAGGCAATCAAAGTTCAGGATTATGTAGTAATCCCATTTGATCAGTAAGATGGGCTAAATAATTCAGTTGACTACCTTAGAGCTAGAGGATTTGAGTTGTATAAAAGTAGTGTTTGGGTTGATGTTGTGCCACAGTAAGTAAAGCCAACACCTGCAAAGCTGGCATCCCACATGTGCGCCAATTTGAGTCCTGGTTGCCCCAATTCTGATCCAGGTCTCCGATAATGGCCTGGGAAAAGCAGGAGACCATGGCCCAAGTTCTTGAGCCCCTGCACCCTCTTGGGAGACCTGGAACAATTTCCTGGCCCAGCCCCAGCTGGGCAATGGCAATGGCAATGGCAATGGCAATGGCAATGCAGCCATCTGCGTAATGAACCAGAGGATGGATGATCTCTTTCTCTGTCTTTCCCTCTCTGTGTCACTCTTTCAAATAAATGAAGAAATCTCTTTAAAAGAAGTTTATGCCATTCTATAGACCTTACTTTAGAAATGTGTCCATGTCTATTATAATGATGATGATGATGATAGTAACTATGTACTCAGCAAAAGCCTTTGTTACTTTATTCTAATGGACTGAGGTAACATTTCAAAGACTGTTTCAACACAATTGTATTTAAAGTAAGAATTTAGTGGCACTTAGTCACTGAATAACATAAGAGGCTTTTTTGATTTGTTAATTGCATATATCCATGCATGAATGTTACTTGTTACATAGTTTCATTTCTTTTTATTCATATAAACACTGAAAGCCTTGTTTTCATATATGTGCAGGTGAATATTCTAACATGAGACTTTTGTAGCAGGCATTCAATGCTTTGAACATATATGTCAAAAGCACATTGAATTCCCACCCAGTTATTTTTTAATAATCTTTTAACTGAAAAATAGATAGATTCCTCCTTCAGTTGTTTTGAAAGTAAAGTTATAGAAACCAATTGACTTGCCAAATTATTTGTTGTTCATTCAAGTAATTTCCTTTTTGATTTTCTAGGAACTATACCAATGAAAAGCTATGGTAAAACTTAGCAATTAATTATAAGATGGACTTGCATATTATTATCACTTAGAGGCACCTTGAATAACTACATGTTAAGATAGATTAGGAAAATTGAAATATCCTTTATAATGTACCTTACTAAACTGTTTTCACCAAAGCAATTCTTTGGTAAGATGTTTTCATCTGATTCAATGATTTATATATTCTTATTTCAATATGGGAAAAATACCCATCATTTAACTTGCTTAGCAATCTTCATTTTCGCATCAGTCAATCAAAATCCTACCTGGCTTCATTTTTCAATTCAAGTAAACATGTTCTTAAACGTTACATGGAATATAATGAATACACTAAAAATATATTCTGTAATACAAATTTAAAACCTACGTTACTAGAAGCACACATTTTAAAGTGTTGTAGATGTAATATAATTAATCTGCATTTTTAAGTTAGAACTTATAAAGGTCTATGTTGTTTCTCATGATTTATAATAGCCCAATGTAGTTTGTAATTGTGAAGCTATTTATGGAACTTACACTATTTCTTAAAAAGTGGTAAATGTTCAGGTATGTGCATTGATTGACATTAGAGCATAATTAAATATACAATAGAAATAGCTTCATTAGTTACATAGACAGGAATATACTGGTGAAACTGGTTATTCAAATAGTTAGCTTAAATTTTAATTTTTAGTAATAAGAAAGAAGGAATAATAAATTTATCTTCTACAATGATCTAAAATGAAGACTTGTGACAATTGGAATAGATATTTTATAATATAATTGAAAATATTGGATAATGGAATTAACAGTAATGACAAAATCTAAGATATTATGTAAGGTATTTATGAATCTATGGGTTTCAGCCAGCGTACCTAAAAAATGTTGGTGTTGAAGGGAATTTTCAGCTACTGTAAAATAATGCATCACTTAAATTTCACTGCTTTGACTATTTGAAGATATATTCTTTTTAAAGACAAATCCTGGGAATGAATATTGAGAACCACCTTACATTTCTCTATAATTCTCCCAACAATAATGCATTCTTTCACAGAATTAATGAAACATTCCCAACACTTCCTTAACCCACTTAACACAAAATATTCAATTTGTCAACAACCTAACCTAACATGCAATGATTCATCTTTAGAAGAAAGAATAAGATTTTGCCCAAAAAAGAAAAAAACAGGCCTGCGCCATGGCTCACTAGGCTAATCCTCTGCCTAGTGGTGCTGGCACACCGGGTTCTAGTCCCGGTCGGGTCGCCTGATTCTGTCCCAATTGCCCCTCTTCCAGGCCAGCTCTCTGCTATGGCCCGGGAGTGCAGTGGAGGATGGCCCAAGTCCTTGGGCCCTGCACCCCATGGGAGACCAGGAGAAGCACCTGGCTCCTGCCTTCGGATTAGCGCGGTGCACCAGCCGCAGCGCGCCAGCCGTGGTGGCCATTGGAGGGTGAACCAACGGCAAAGGAAGACCTTTCTCTCTGTCTCTCTCTCTCACTATCCACTCTGCCTGTCAAAAAAAAAAAAAAAAAAAAAAAAAAAAAAAAAAGAACAAAACATTGAGATTGCTTTATGGAAACATGATTATTTCTTTCTTTGAAAATATTGGAAGTATTAAGCCCCAAAGAATCTTCCACAGATAGTTTCTTGAGGGGTGAGCTGTCTTTTCCAAAGTAGGAAAGGAAGTCTGTGGAAGGGTTATATGCATAAGAGAACCTATGTGATGCCATAAACTGTGTGTGCGGATTTGAGAATCTGCAAGTTTAGCTATTACCTTTATTTGCTTGTTGAATGAATGCATAGAACTCAAAAATCCATTTATTTGTTTTGCAGCTGTTGTGAGTGCCATCCCTGTACCAACCCTAGAAAGTGCCCAGTACCCAGGAATCCTCCCATCTCCCACCTGTGGATATCCCCACCCGCAGTTCACTCTCCGGCCCGTGCCATTCCCAACACTGTCAGTGGACCGAGGATTCGGAGCAGGAAGAACTCAGTGTAAGGCATTTTCCTTTATTTTTAATAAGAGCAAATGAATCAAAGCAAGGATACCTTGTCAAGTGTGTAAGATTTTGATCTTGTTATTTCTTGGAAAATGATTTATGACATTAGCACTAGAATTTTCTAAGAGTCAGTCCTTTGGATCCTGGTTCATTTGCTTTTAGATTGATTCTCTTAAGAATCTTTCTACAGAATACTCCATGGACAACACAGTGGAAGGTAAGGAAACAAAAGCCATGTGGCTCTATGAAACCTTGATGGGGGCCTAAAGTTTATATGTCTTATGAATGAGGAAGTTCATCATCATAATCTGATACCTTCAACATATTCTTAGTGTCTGCTGGTTGTAATTGGAACATGACTCATTGATTCCTGATGAACCAGTTCTTGGATGGATGCTTTAGTCTAATCAGTTAAGTAATACCTTATCAACAGTTAATTATTGGGGAAAAAAGACTTCCAGAGTAGCAGTTCCTTTATTAGAAGGAAAACAGGAATATAGGTGGACTCTCTAAGTTATGATATACACTCTGGTGATTTCTCTTGTGCCATTTGACTTGTTTTTTTCTTTGAGCGCAGCGTTTTTAAATCGATTTTATGGCTTTCATCTCTTAGTTAAGAACAGGTGACTCAGCAACTCATGTGAGAAAGGATGTTTTGTAATAGATATGATGGTAACAGCAATAAAGTATATTTGTGAGGTAAGCTGTATTTTTCCCAGCCCAACAGGGACAGCTCTAAGAAATCATAAATTGTCTGGATGTAGCAAGGTTAGAATTAAAAGGCATCAAAAATCTGCCGAGGGAGAATTAGATTTATTTTCGCTTTTCTCACCGCATATCATATCTACAGAATAGAGTTGTGTGCAAAAACTTGAGAATAAATATCGCCCCAAACCACATTGAAGGGAACTGAATGAGAAAGACATAGGAAGTCTAACAACCACAAATTTCCAAGTCCAAAGGCAACTAGATTCATGACTCTGAGCAAAAATTTCAGGAACCACAGTCTTTTCTTAACCTCCAAAATGAACTTGTCTCACCAAAAAAGAGAAGTTTTTATGTTAATATTATCTTTGTTAGATCACTATCCATAATATCATAATCAATACTAAGAAATCTTTTGATTTCTTCTGTATGCTGACCTTAATCTAGTTTCTCAAGAATGATGCTTAGAAGTAGAAGCTCTCATGCTGTCTTCCTCATTTCTATTACCCTGTTTACATTTTATTTAGGATATAGAAATTTCACATATACATATTTAGGAATATAGTAATACTTCGCAAACTACCCTCCCTCCCACCCACACTCCAACACTTCTTCCTCTTCCCTCTCCTATTTCCACTCTTAATTTTTACAAAGATCTATTTTCAGTTAACCTTACACTCACAAATTTAACATTACACTAAGTGCAGAGTTCAACAAACAGTATGTAGAAAAAAAAAAATTGTTCCTCGATAGGAGAGACAAGGGCTATAAACAAACATGGGTGCTCAAAAATGTCAATTTCATTTACAGACGTTATATTTTTGGTACTCTATTTGTTACCATAGATCAAAGAAAACATGGTATTTGTCTTCTGGGGACTGGCTTACTTCACTAAGTATAATGGTTTCCATTTGCATCCATTTTTTACAAAAGACAGGATTTCCTTCTTTTTTACAGCAGAGTGGTATTCCATAGTGTATATACAACATAATTTTTAAAAGATTTATTTATTTATTTGAAAGGCATAATTACAGAGAGGCAGAGGTAGAGAGAGAGGTCTTCCATCCAATGCTTCACTCCCTAGATGGCCACAATGGCAGGAACTGTGCTGATGTGAAGCCAGAAGCTTCCTCTGCATCTCTCATGTGGGTGCGGGGGCCCAAGGACTTGAACAGGTGCCCATATGGGATGCCAGCAGGGCCGGCCCCCATTATTTCTTTATCCAGTCATCAGCTGATGAACATCTGGGTTGGTTTCTATTCCCTTTTTAAAGGTACAGTTCCCTTCTGAAATGTTATTCATTGTTGTACAACATCTCATCTGATCTTTCCTTTTATTCTCTTGAATTGGTACAACATGCGAAACTGTTGTTTAATTATAAGGGAAATTATTCCAAAGTTTAAAGTTCAATGAAAAAGTAAGCTAGTTTAAAATTTGATACAAGATATAGTATTCTGGTGCATGATTTTTTAAGTTTTTAAATTTTTATATGATTGATTATTTGAAAACCAGAGAGAGTGAGTAGGGGAGAGATTCTATCCATTTCTTCACTTCCCAAATGCCTATAGCAGCTAGGGGACCTGGAATCCAAGAACTGAGAAGTCAATCCAGATCTCCTTCATAGGAGGCAGGAACCAGATACTTAAATCATCAAGTCATATATTAGCAGGAAGCTGGAGATAGTAGCCTGCACTAGTTTTCAAACCTAGGTACTACAATGTGGTACACAGGTGTCCTAACCAGGACCTTACTGCTAAGCCAAATGCCAGCCCTGCTGTGTAAGGCTGTGCATGTGAGGGGGCAGGGTATATGTGGGAAATCTCTGTACCTTTCCCTCAATTTCGTTGTGAATCCTAAATACCTCTAAAATATACAGTCTATGAGAAATTAATTAAAACATTGATTCTAGATATTTTAACTGATAATTTCTTAAAAATAATGATTACAAAATAAAGGTAATTATATAACCTTTGTATAATATACTTTTATTTTATTAGATAGAATCAGAAACAGAGAGATCTGCTGGTTCAAAATATAGATTACCTGATGTTTTATATATATATATATATATATTAAGGATTCTTAGCAGAGTGCTTAATAATTTTTGAAATTCATCTAAAATCATCAATCATTGGATAGCTTCCTCACCAAGTTTTTGTAGTCTTTAAAATTTATATTCAGTTGTTCATCAAGTATATTTTGAACAAAGTTATGTGCAATGCATAAGAAATAGGATCCAGTATGTATTTCTACGTGACTTCTTAGAAAAGAAGAGAAATAAATAAGCACCCTGTTTTGTAGGAAACCGCATATTCTTTAAATCACTGTCAGAAGCAGTTAACTTCCAGCCACTCAGTATCGGTTTCTAAATGCCTTGGAGAACACTTAAAACTCCTGTTCTCTCTCAAGCAGAAAACGTTTCATGACTCTGGGTGGAGATGTCTTATTAGTCACCTTGAGAAACTGACCAAGGCACACGTAAGGAAAGAAAACTTGGCTTTTCCAAGTGTGGAGACTCCTTCCTTCAGAGTTATCTGAAACGACTTTCAGTTTTACAAAAATAAAGAACTCAAGTCCTGCCCTAGAGAGTTCTGCTTTCTGAAGGCCCAGATAAAGCAGAATTTCTCTGTAGCCATAAAGGAAAGAAAGCAATAGTACTGCATGAATTTACATTACACATATGCGCTGACCCATCAGTAATGACTAATGTAGTTGTGATGGCCAAGTATTTCCTCCGCTAAGTAATTGCAGCTCTGCTCTGTGCCTCAGTGGGCCAATGAGTCATCCCCTGGGAAATAGTGAGCAGCACTATTCTTTGGACACCTCAGCAAACCGGGTAGTCTTAGGGCCTTGTTTCCACAAATCATTACGAAATCGGTGCCCTGGTTTCTCTTCTTTGAAGGAGGTAGTTAGTAGAAAGAGGGTTGAATGATTTTCTCAATAGCTTTCAGTTCTGACATCATCTTAGTTAATGGAAAGGCTGGTCTGCTTTATCCATGCCATTTTCTGCCCTAGTTCACCCCTGCACTGGAATTCAACCACTAAATGGAACTTGGGCTTGATAAAATCAGGAGTACAGCAGAGTTCATTGCAGGCTGTGAGGAAGTAGGGTTATACAGGAATATTGCCAGATGCTATTCTTCCAGGATTAATGAGTGAATTGAGATACTACAGGTGATCAGGTCTCATAATCTTTGCCTAGAATTATCGGTATGCTATATTTCTATCAAATATTGCCATTTTAGGTAGGATAAAAATTCTCATTTCCATTTTTACAGTATTTTTGCCAGTTATTCTGTAGCAATTATTTATGTATGTTGACATTAATTATTATAAAGCACCTTGAGATCTGACTCTGCTGTGCAATTGTAGGCTATTTTTACAATGAATTCTGACTGTTTCATCATTTGAAAATGAGTACCTTGCCAGCATCTATTTGATTCCCACTCTGTACTCCAGTTTGCATAGAGGAAGTCTGTACTTGGTGGGTAGACACAGCTTTTCTTTGCTTTCAGGGCTCTTAGCACACCTAACTGGCATGTCCCTGAGCCAATGTGCCTCAACAGGCCAAATAGGCTCATTCGAAATGAGAGAATTTCTCTGGTGGAACAGTTGCTTTTGTGTTTAAGGTTTTTTTATTGTCTTAAATGCTAATCCATTCTGAAAAACATTTTATTTTGCTACACTAAAAATATCCGAATCATGAATTATCTACAGAACTCCTATACCTTGCCCATTGTATTCATTTGGAACAACAACAAAATTGTCTCTCACGAGTTGTTGTTACATTTAGTCCTGAGGCTTGGCCCTCCCATCCCTACGTGGTGCGTTAGTCTCCTTCCTTTTCTATATATTGGTGCTACAGATGAATTTCACTGAGGGCTGAGTCATCTAAGTTAAGAGCTACACTGTGGTGACCCCAGTAGGAATTAACATAGGCAGCTGAAAGCCCAGGGATAGAGGACAGAGAATTGCTGTTTCCGGAGATGCTGATGAGGAACAATTCCATGAAGAAGGATTGCACTGGGAATGGACAAAAGAATTTCAGTGACTTCATCACAATGTATGTGTGTATGTGAAATATGAAATATTTATCAAAATATGAGAATTTCAGAGGGCTGAAAAAAGTTTAAATTTTATTAAACTTATAATAATAATTTAACTTAGATCTCTTTCATTTTGAAAATGTGAAAGAAATGAAACAATAAAAAGGGAAGAATTTATGAACATGTTGTTCCTTTGTTGGCTAAATTAGTTTTAAAAACATAATGTATATTAATCATGATCCATCTTCAATGAAGTTACCCAAGGCAGATTCCTAAAAAAGATGGTGAAATTAATTTTCCAGGACATATATACATATATATATATATTTTTTTTTTTTTTTTGACAGGCAGAGTGGACAGTGAGAGAGAGAGAGACAGAGAGAAAGGTCTTCCTTTTGCCGTTGGTTCACCCTCCAGTGGCCGCCACGGCTGGCGTGCTGCAGCCTGCGCACTGCGCTGATCCGAAGGCAGGAGCCAAGTGCTTCTCCTGGTTTCCCATGGGGTGCAGGGCCCAAGCACTTGGGCCATCCTCCACTGCACTCCCTGGCCACAGCAGAGAGCTGGCCTGGAAGAGGGGCAACCGGGACAGAATCCGGCACCCCGACTGGGACTAGAACCAGGTGTGCCAGCGCCGCTAGGTGGAGGATTAGCCTATTGAGCCGCGGCGCTGGCCCCAGGACATATATTTTTAATGTGATGATATAGATCTGTTAATAAGAACTAGCCTACTGGATATCGGGAAACACACACACACACACACACACCAGAAGTGGCCTTGGGAAGTTCATCCATGACACAGAGGACCAGAGCAACTTTCAGTTAAGTGGTAGAGAAATCATAGAAAGTTCCCCAAATTTTCCCCCATGAGATGATCAACTCCTTCTGAGGAATCATCTTCTCCATTCCAAGGATCACTCTAGGGCTCTTTCTGAAAAGGCCTTTATTCCCTCCTAAGCATTTCCTGAATTCTTTAACTGTATCCTTTGGAGACTGTGGTTTGAAAGAAATGTTAGCCATGAGATCCACCTTAAAGTAGCCCTTGTTACGGGAACAAGGAGTGAGTGCAAAACTTAGGGCACCATTCCCAGGTCAGGAACACAAAGAAACTCATGGTTGGGCATTGCCTAAGTAAAACCTGCACAAATTTCATTGTTTCTAAAAATATATTCCCAACCATGACCGAACCAAGGAAGAATACAGACCCACAAGCATTTCTCTCCCCTTTACAGTCTGAAAAGCAATGTTGCCACTTATGGCATATCTGGAGGGTTCTCTCCAGTTTGTTGCATTGATCAATTTCTCATGTTTGATGGATCTGTTATGCAATTCCTACCTACTTCTGATTCTAGTTGTTATGTGGTATACCTTATCCTCTGACATTCCTGTATCTTCAGTCTGTGAATAGTGTCAGCCTGGAGAAGACTGGTCACCCAGTGCACCTGTAACCCCTTCTGAGTACAGAGAGTGATTACAAATACCCTCTGAGGATGCACCTAATGTTTGCCTATATTCAGCGTTATGGCTGGATCTTACCTTCCTTATATCACCACTCCCTCCAGCATTATAAAATGTCTTATCTTGTCTGCTTTGTGATGAGATTAGTGAGCTCTTCAGGAGTTGTCTCAAAATTATCTTACAAGCTATCTTGAGATATGTCCTGGTTAAAAGAGTCTCTTTCTAAAGTGAGACATTGTCTTCTATCACTGGTTTTTGTTTTTTTTTTTTTTCTCCAATTTACAAGTTTTTTTTTTTTGTTTTTTTTTGTTTGTTTGTTTTGTTTTTTCCCTTATTCACATGGATAACTGATATGGAACTCTCTTCAATTGCAGTTTAGCCTGGACCTGTTCCCTGTGAATATGAATGAAGAATTAAATTTGAGTCACTGGGGATGTCCTTAGCAAGAGAAATTGCCCTGAAAATATTTCAGTCTAACTCAACTCTATTCTCTAGAGAAAAGGTGTATTTCCATATACAAAACCATCCAAATGCCCATAGGCTGTCACAAATGCCTATGAGAAACCTCTTCAATGATCATAATCTGCCTGAAAATTACAAGGTTTGCTACCAAAGAGGAAAAATTGCAATTCAGCATTCAGGCAACTTGTTCCAACAGAGTCATCTCTCATATAAGTTTTAGCTGGATGTGCCTCTATTTTGTTATGGAAGATAATGATAGTGGTTATTATTTGTATCATTTTATTAGCAATGCTTCTGAGCACCCTGTAACTTGGATTTGTTTGACAGTTGACATGGCATGTTTAAATCACAGAAAAATTGGCATATTGGCTGGTAGATAATCATGCAGCTGTAACTGGGTTTGCTACATTGAATTTCACTGACATTGCTACTTATGAAAGGAGAAATAACTCTTTTTTCTCGCTTCATCACTTATGATTACAGGGCCCAGACAGTTCAGGCAATATAGTAAGTGCTGAATATATTTTACTGTTCTTCCTGAAAGATAGATTCCTGCCCTGCTGGTCTATTTCTATCATTTAGAGGGTAGCGCTGGGGCCAGCACTGTGGCGTAGAGGGTAAAGCTGCTGCCTGCAGTGCCAGCACCCTTTTTGGGAGCCAGGTCATGTTCTGGCTGCTTCTCTTCCAATACAGCTCTCTGCTATGGCTTGGGAAAACAGTACAAGGTGGCCCAGGTGCTAGGGCCCCTGCATCCACATGGGAAACCCAGAAGAAGCTCCTGGCTTCTGATCAGCCCAGGCTCGCTCTGTTGCTGCCATTTGGGGAGTGAACCAGAAGATGGAAAGATCTCTCTCTGCCTCTCAAATAAATAAACAAATATTTAAAAAGAGAGTAGTGCTATCATATTCTATCAACATATAAAGGTAGAAGAATCAGTATTTTCATAACATGCAGGAGAGATTGGTTCCTGTCATTTCTCTGAACTGATGCAGGGATTCTTTAGGTGTCTTAGGGAAAAGAAGCTTGTTTGAAATAATCAATGGATTCTCTTGTCCCCCACTGCAGCAATAAGTGAAGGACCAACCACCCAGCAACCACCCATGCTACCCCCAGCTCAGCCCGAGCATCCCAGCAGTGAGGAGGCACCAAGCAGAACCATCCCCACGGCCTGTGTTCGACCGACGCATCCACTCCGCAGCTTTGCTAACCCTCTGCTACCTCCGCCAATGAGTGCAATAGAACCGAAAGTCCCTTACACACCACTTTTGTCTCAGCCAGGTAAAGTACCTTTGGTTTTCATTTCCAATTGTTGTTATTGTTAGTGCCTCTACTTGGGTACCTGAGAGGGCCCAAATGCTTGAATGTCTTCGTAATGCTGATTATGTGCGCACTTGCTGATACAGATGTGTATAGTCCAATGCTTAATCATCTGCCTTAGAAGCAACTAGCTCTTTGTAAGTGCTTTATATCTCTATAGATAGCTGTCCATGAATCTTGCACAAGCACTATTTTTACTGGGCAGCATGTATCCCTGACTCTTTATTCTGTCACATGGGTCCTAAATGTAAGGCTAGACTCCAAGACTAGAGTTAATGATAAAAAAAAAAAAAATCTGCCAAAGTACTTCTTAGGAACAAGCATTTAATGTAATCATTCTGTTGTGTGCCTTTCAACAGTCATCTTTCAGGGGTTTGTATTATTTCAGAGTACAGGAGGAGAAATGAGTATCAGAAAATGTATAGAGTTCAACTTCCTAATTTTAGAAATACCCAAAAATTTAGATATATAAGATTTGTTACTTCCTATATATCATAGATATGTTACTTCTATGATGCCTGTCTAAGGAAATCAAATGGCAAGGACGATAACCAGAACCAAGGATGTTTTTATCACCTCGGTTGGTTTCTAATGGGATTGACCCAGAGCACCATTTTGTTTTTATTATCTTTTTGGGAAAGAGAAAAGTGGGGTAAGAAAGACAAGACAGAGAAAGAAGTAAGAGGAAAACATTCAGCTAGATAAAATGATGTGTAGATACATACAAAGATATATGTAATCCATAAAATTATTTGGAATATCAGTATAATTCTAAACAACCCCTGTATGTGACCCTTAAGATAGTAGATTTCAGTAGTTGTAAGTAACTAGAGCTATACTCCTTAATAAAGACAGGCAGCTGGAGTCAGCCAGTGTACATTGTTCAAATACATTTGAAGAATTTTCTGTTACTCAGAATCCACACCCACAACAATTTCTGTCATTGCATTAGTACACAAGCCTCCTGTTAATGGTAAAAAATTAGAAAAGTCTAATTCCTATGCACTATCTTTAATTCTACTCCTGGCATCACATTATTTGATTTGTGTGCCCCTCTAACTCCTAATGTTCACATTTATGTGGTGAGTGGTATGGTGCTCAGCTGGCAGCCCCTGGGAGTTGGGGTGGAGCACAGAGGCACAAGGGATTCTACTGCTTGGGATGTACACTGCATGATGATATCTGCCCAGTCATAGCCCTTTGAACCATAAGGAAGCCCATTAGGACTTAGGACCACCCAGCACTGTCCAAGTCCCTCCCTCCAACTCTTACGTGCACATTCCATATACATATTATGGGGAAAATCTGCTGCCCTATGTGGCATAGAAACTATGAGGTCTTTCACAATTAAGACAGAAACCATTTTAATTATGTTTGTTTTTTTGAAAAGCAGATTGAGACAAATGTCTTCTGCCTACTGGTTCATTTCCCACAAGACTAAACAGCTGGGGCTGGGCCAAACCAAAGACAGGAACTCCATCCAGGAGTCTTACATGGGTGGAACTTAAGTGATCACTACCACCTACCAGGGCGCTTATCAGAAGGAAGCTTGAGACAGGAGTGGAGTCAGGACTCAAACTCAGGCATGCTGACCTGGGACGTGGGCCTTCCAAATGACTTCTTAACCACACTGCCAAATGCCTGCTCCAAGAAAGGGAAAATTTTAAATAAGAAAATCAGGAACTGCATTGAATGAGTGAGTTAAGAGATTGCTGCCTAGTGAGGAAGAAGACCTTGTAGGAGATCATGGTTCAGGCTGGGTGACAGGTGAATTGCAGCTACTCACAATACCTAGCCCATGCTTCTGAAGCCTGAACACTCCCTGGGCCCCTCAAAACTATTCTGAGGTGGCTAACGGTCTCTATCCCATTTTACAGATAAGAAAACTGAAACAGAGAATTGAAGTAGCTTATTTAAGTCTACACAGCTAGTAGTAAATGATGCATTTCCCCACCTTTTTTGATTTTAGAAAATAAGTTTTCGAATTTTAGTAACTCATTTGTACCGCTTAGCTTATATCTAATTTATTGAATGACAAGATCAAAAACTAAAGTATTAAATGTAAGCATTCTAAAACTGATATAGAAATAACCATGAAGCATCTGAAATAGATTTGTCTTAAGGAATATGATTTCCTTACAAGTTTTCCTCTCATATTTGAATGAGAAAAGGTAAGAGGCTTACTTGTGTATACTAAAAAAGACCAATTTTGAGATGTTAAAAAACTACATTACTTTATAATGTTAGCTATCCTCTCTGCCTGAAAATAAAGATTTTTGTTTCTTTTAAAATAACTATTATATATAGAAAAAAGCTAGAGGTGATATTCTGAAGACCAATTTAAGTGAAAATTTTACTGTAGCAATGAGGGTTTGGAGCCCAGGGTTTGTACTCTTGGGCTCTGTGATAAAAAAAAAAAATGATCAAAAAGAACTCCAAGGGATGAGTACCTGGCACAGTGGTTAGGATTCCTGATTCCACATTGAGTACCTTGGTTCAATATCCAGTCCTGCTGCGGATTCCAGCCTCCTGCGTATGTGTATCCTGTGAGGCAGCAAGTGACAGTCAAGTAGTTTGGTCCCTACCACTTATGTGGGAGACGGGGAGTGAGCTCCTGCACCCAACACCAGCTGCTGCAGGCACTGGGAGTGTGAACCAGCACATGGAAGCATTTTTCTCCCTCCCTTCCTGTATCACACTTTCTAATAATTCAATAATTTTAATTTAATTACAGAAAGAACATCTGATAATAGATGGAACAGATTGACATTTTTTCTAGTTATTATTTTCTTCTAATTACAATACATCTGACATAATGCAGCACACTTGAGTGGACTCTGCCAGTCTGTTGTTCTGTGTACCACATGTCTGAGGCGGCATTCTCTACCCAGAGGCGGGCGATATCTGGTTTGCTTGTACTTCCATTGTGCATTTATGAGCCTTCATTTGCTTTGCTATTGTTCTTGTTTTTATTTGAACTGTTCCTCACAAGCCATCTCTCCTTTCATATGTCCCCATGTCTCTGGTTTGATTTTGCAGTTTTCATAATTCCCCTTTCAATGCCTCCCTCGCCCCTCAACATGAGGCATTCCCCGCCTTTCCATTGGAATTACTAAATGTCTTTCTTCTTCATGTTTCTCCCTCATTGTCTGCCTGTGATTCTTGCTCATTTCTTAATGCCTTACCTCCTGATTTTCAAATAAGTTCTCCCACATTGCTCCTGACACATGGTAAATAGTATGCTTTTAAAAGAGGCTGATGTTTACTTATTCTAATAGAAAAAGAAAATTAGCAGACTGACAAATGTATTAGCTGTGACATTAACTACATGCTTCTTAGCCTAAAAGACGAAATACTTAGAGCTTTCAACAAATTTTAATTCAAAGAAAATCATTACTTTAGTCAAGCTGATGGATGAAGTAAAGTCATTCTCTTGTCGGCTTAAAAAATACCTGAAATAATTTTAATCTGGATTTCACAATAGAGGACTGCATAATTAGTAATGAATTTATCTTTACTTCCTGCAAGTAATTACTGTAAAAATTGGAGCAATGCTTCATATTACCATATTTTAAAGAACATACCAAATGAGAGGCCCCTTCTATCTTGAAAGCTTGGACATTACGATCAGTGGAGAAACTCTTTCCACTCTAACTCCTGTGTGTGGTTTTTCGTGGGCAGCATCAAGGGTCTGTGCCTCAGTTTGCCTCCTGCTAAGGCATGAAGAACTATGCTGCAGTGGTTATACATGAGATTCAGGGGCACATTGTGTGCATTAACTGTGGGGTTGGAGTATTTCTGCAGTAAGTGGTAATTAGAAAGTCATTCTTCTGTCATAGCGACCACAATTCTGCCTACCTGCAAACACAAATTCATTCCTTTTTTTTTTTTTTTTGCCCTTCTACCTGCCGAGTTGGAAATGTAGCTTACTAGTCTCTGGGGTATTTATGGTGTTTCTTACAGTTTCATCATTCTCTCGTGATAGAGTAGTTATGTTCTGAAATGCTTCATCGTGGATGTAACAACCATGTGGTCATTGCACAGTTCAAGAAGGCTGGGATCCTTGTACTTTGCAAATCACAGATGTGGACATATAAGTGATTTGGCTTTGTCCCCTTTCAAGTTAAATAGAAAATGTTTGATGGAGTGTTAGGCTTATTGCATTATAGATCTGACATAAATTCTACAAAGGACCACGATACGTTTAATAAAAAAAAAAAAACTCACTAGTGCAAATTCCTTTTAGCTGTGAAATGATCATCTGCACTTTAAATGAACCTGGGTTAGGAAATCATTTGTCTTCTGGGGCTGTAATTCTTAAGGGAAAGAAAATGTGACCTCTTAACTAGTGCCTTGTGTATCCTAACACACTTTTATAACATCAGCGCTCTGCAGCTCTTGCATCTTGCTCAAGCTTCATAAGTGCTTTATTGTTCTCCATTTACACATTGCATTTCTGCAACATACATATTTATAAAAGCAAAAGCCCAGAGCATTCTTATCTTTTCAATCTTCCAGGGATCGATATGTCGGTAGCATGACAAGACCCAAACTCACTGCATTGTACTGCAAAATTGAGTTTGATTTTCCCCCTGCAAATTGTGGCATGTGCTCCAATTTGTCTGAAGATTGAGGACAAGGGTGGGGGTAGCTGACAGTGGACAGAAAAGACAGTTGATTTAGATTTTCCGGCTGGATGGGAAATCATGTGTTCCTGTTGTAACCTGATCTTTTTGGCAGACATTATTTCAGTAAATATGCTATCACAAAAAGCTGCCAATAAATCACCATCACACATTAGTACAATTGTCTTCTCTGAGCTACTTTTAAGCCACCTTTGGAAATGTTTATCAGGGATACCACACGGGCGTTCCCTTTTGCTAAAATCAGTCACAGGCCCAGATCATGGGAGATCAGACATCCCTCAGCAATTTTTAAGGTCAGATCAGATAAATCATTGG